TTTAATTATTAGCTTTTGTTCAGTGTTAACAACGGAAATCGTCCATCGTTGCCGTTTCTCACCGAATTGATTCTTTATATTTATATGAGTACATGATAATAAATTTTCGATAACTGTTGAAAGCAGAATAATTTTAAAATTTAAAATTCTAATTTTGTAACAAAATAATTTATCTTCGTTTCAAAATTTCTAGAGGAACCAATTTGATTATCTTTTTTTCTTCAATTTTTGGAATTTTTTCTTCATTCTTGATAAATCAATAAAATTTGGAAATTCGAAAAAATTTAATGCACACTTAACTCTTGATCAATAAATACTCTAAATATACTAAAATTTCTTTCTTATATTTCATTTCTTTTCTTATATTTCAAAAATACAATTAAATAATAGCAAATTGAACTTTATTTTTAAAAAATCTTCTGTGACTATAAACAAAAATCACCCATTTTGAAGATAAATCTTAGCATTTGGCAACAGTTTACATCCTATACATATTTCATATAAGTATACACATCTAGCCACATATACATGTATAATTATTCTAATATGATTTATCAATATATATGCACAAACATTTAAGTCTTAAGCTCATTTAAAATAATAATAAAAAAGTAGAAGGTAAAATTATAATAATGAACTAAGTTTTATGCAAATTTCTTTTTTAATTTTACCTTCTTCTTTTCACATTTTTTCTTTTTGGTTTTTTTTTTATTTTTTTTTTTGACAAAATATAACAACGACCATGAAGGCTCTTTAGAATAATCATACACAAAAATATAAAAAACAAAATGTACCTATCTAGAATGCATAAATTACATGAAATTTTTAGTTACAACAGCCTAAGTATTTGCTATTCTAAACTTATTTTTTAAGCCAAATAAAAATAATGTTGAAGAGACTAAAAGTGAAACGAAAAAAAAAAAAATATTGTATATAAGTACACAAAACTATAAACAGGAAGAGTCATAATATTATCTACCCCGACCCCAGGTTATAATTATTATTGCAATCTCTTCAAAAATTTTGTTTTTATTAAAAAAAAAATGTATTTTTATAATCCGTAAAGAACATAGAGCAAAAACACTTCTTTAAAAGTAAGAAAAAAAAAATCAATATACTCAGTTAATAACCTTTTATTTAATTAACTTATAATAAAAATATAACTACTTATTTATTTTTAATTTCATAAAAATTTCATGATTTTTTTTATATATATATATATATATATATATATATTGGTATTGAATGTTAAATTAAATAAATAAATTATGAGTTTATTAATCGATTTTTCGCTTGTTTGCTGCAACACTGTAATAACTTAAAATTTGCGCATTTGAGAAAAACGAATTTTATAGTTTTTGAATTATTATATTTTTCTCGTCACCCACCCAATTACTTTATAAGCTAGAGAAATTGTGTTTTTTGTCCAAAAAAGAAATATTTTAAGAGCTTATTTCATGTACAAATAACTGAGATATCGCATTTTTTTAGTTATGTCACTGTTACAGCAAGCGGGCGACATGTAAACGTGCTCAACAAAAATTATATTATGTATACAAGAACAAAAATTTAACTAAGTACGTATATACTAATCATTATAGATATACATATATATATATATATATACCTAAGTAATTAAAATTTAAATTTAGAATAACAAGTTAATGGTAATATCTTAAAAATTTCAATAAATTTTTTTTTATTAAAATTTTCTTAAAAAGCCTATACCAATACAAAATACACAAAAAAAAATTTAATTTTTTTTTTTTTCAAGAAAATGATTTCTCTTTTTTTAAGAAAAAATTCTCACAAAAAAAAAAAAAAAATTGTTATCAAAAAATTTATCAATTAGCAGAATGTCACAAAATCGAAAAAAAAAGAGAAAATATTAAAATCAATGAATTATGGTAGATAAATAGAAAAATACAGTCAACCTAAAAATTATTTGTACATGTATAAATTTTTATAAATTTCGATTCTTTTTTATTAATTTATATAATACGGATCTTTAGTGGTTAATGTTAGAGGTTATGCGTCGAGGTTATTACGATATTAGAACAAAATTTTGCTTTACTACAACATCATGTGCCCCGCAAAAACTTAGTGTACCTATGATAAGTTATATTTGTACCTCTAGTAAAATTTTAAAAGTGATTGTAAAAAAAAAATGTTTATCTTTATTTAAAAACAATTGAACTTCTAATTAAAAACTTTAATTTGTGAATTTAAAAAAAAAAAATAAATAATTTTCTCAAATATTTCTGAATTACAAAATTAAAAACATAATAATTGACAATTTTTTACAATTTTACATCGAAAATCTCCTTCGGTCGCTCACTAGTTGGAGGAAAATTATTATTATTTTTTTCGCTTTTTTTGCGCTACAACATGGATGAGTTACCCCTAATATATTACATTAAATTTGTTTAAAGTTTTTGTATTTTAACCAAAATTGCAGCCGATTATTAAAAGCATTATGTTATATTAAAAATTTGCATATGCACAAATAATTTTTGATATGATTGTATTCTAGTTTCCTTCCTCTATTATATTTCTTTATAATTATGGATGGAAAAAAATTAATAGTATAAATTAAAGATTAATATACATAGATAATTATTTGATAAAAAATTAATAAAATAAGAGAATTTTAAATTGTAACAATTAAATGTCTAACTAGATATCGACTAAATTAATAAAATGAAACCTATAAATTTTCAAAAAATCTAAAAAAATCAATAACGTTTTTTTTATAAATCAGGTGAGTAATTAATTACGTGCCTTGGTCTTGAAATCTTAAAATATTTCAATTTATTGTTAAAATTTTCATAATTATTCCCTTAAATCTCACAGAAATAAGAATATTATAATTGCCATTGCCCCAACTAAATTAATAAAGAAAAACACAAAAGAATTAGAGAAACGAGGAGGAATGACCATTAATACTTAGAATGCGATGTCATAAATAAGAATAAAAAAGAAAAACAAAAACATGCCAACAATTTAATATTCTAATTTCTTTTTTTTTTTTTTGCTTAATTAAAATTTTACTAATTATAAAAATAATCAAGAATGACGTGAAAAAATTTGCATACTTATATATTTATACATGCTTAGCAATAACATTTATTATAGCAATAATACTTTATAATATACATTCATACATACTGCCTACATACAGTGTGTGCCTATGTATATACCTATAACGTACAATTTTATAACATTTACGTATAATTATTATAATAAATTTAGAATATATTATTTTGCTTAGGCCTTATGCTAACCAAGAATTTAACTAAATCTACATCACAAAATAATTAGCTATTTATTATACCAGATTTTCAACATTTTATTTAAAACATATTTTTCATCTTAATTTTAAAATTCTAAAAAAAAGAATATTATAATTTTTTAATGTCTAAATTTTTTTTCTGTTTTTTTTTTTCATGTAGAATAAAAATTTAAGAATAAACTTATAATGTGTGTATCTAATAAAACACCTTTAACCAATAAGTAAATAGGTATATATATTATATATATACATATATATAAGTAAAATGTATAACTAAGTAAGTATATATATATATTAAGATATCTTGAAAAATTATTCATATGTATCTAAAAATAATTTACAGGTATCTATACCATAGACACATTGTAGATAAATGGCGGAAGTTAAGAGAAAATTAATATATATATATATATATATATATATATATACCTATATATATAAGAGGAAAAATATATGTATGTACTTACAGAAAATAAAAAAAAAATGAATAAAATCAATAATAACCTAGTTGTTCAAAAAATATTATACAAAAATGGAAAAGAAACTTATAGGAAAAAATTTAATAATAAAATTAAGAATTTTTTTATTACTTCTAGTTTGTTTAATTTTTTTAAGTTAATTGTAATTATGTTTAGGTAGGTATACCTAAGTAGGTAGATGCATTAAATTTATGTATATACCGGCTTTGTAAATTAAAATATGAAAAGTAAAAATTAAATTTATAATTAATTCTTTTACTTAGTAATTGTATTTTTTTTTTTTGTAATTTTGAATTTTATTATAAAGGTAGGCAGAAAAATCACCCACATTTTATATATATTAATAAATACGTATTTGTATATATGTATATATAAATATGATCATATTATACAGAAAATTATTGTTAAAGGCTAAAAATTATAGATAAATTTTATTATGAAGACAACAAAAACTATATTAATATTTTTCTATACTTATCCGTCTATATATACAAGATTTATTATAAAAATTTAAATTATAAATTAATGAATTAAAATAGATATTAATTATAAAAATTTTATTAATTAACAATATTAAAATAGAATTTTTCAATTTCCTATTTTCTTGTCAATCAAAATCCATTTACGCAGATCAAATTTTATTCAAATCAAATAAAATCTATAATTTTTCATTAAACACATTGTCTTTCATTAAACAAAATTCATAAATAAAGTTTGATATCATTCTAAATTCAAGACCTTATGTCTTGAAAAAAAAAATTCATATGTCTTTATAAAAAATTCATAAAATTCTTAAAAATTTTTTTAAACAAATTATTATTTATTATTATTAATATTCTTTAATAAAATTTGTAATATTAATTATTATAGAATAAGAATATTATATTATAAAAATATTAAGAATAGTAAATAAAAGTTACACCCTAATAAATATAATAAGAATATAACAATATATTTTTATTATATAGAAATTTATATACATATTATTATATAGTTATTAAATATATAATAAATAATAATTATATAGGTAATTACTTATATATATATATATAAATTCTTATGCATGTATTTTAAGTTAATATAAGTACTTATATACATATATATAATAATTATATTTCAAAGTTAAATATAGAATATAGGTATAGGGCAAGTACTTATACTCGTATGTATATACATATATACATATATATAATAATGTAGATAGGATAAAGGTGTTGGTTTGTACTTACATTTAAAATTCTAAAAACGATTTATACGAAAAAAAAAAATTTTATTTTTTTTTTTTATTTTTTCTTATTTTTTAGTAAATCCTTGTCTTTTTTAATAATTTTATATTAATAATTATAGTTTTACCGTAAAAATAAATACGATTTAAATTTTCAAATGTTTTTATTTTTTATTATTAATTTTCTTGTGTTTTTTTTTTTATTAATATTTTAATATATAAACATTTTTTTTATTTTCTCATTCAGAATTTTTATTTTTTTTTTGTAATATTATTGTTATTCTTGTTTTTCGACAATATAAACAATATAAAATATATACATATGTATGTATGTATGTATGTAATTTATTTGATCCAAGAGACCCCCTCGACTACTTTTATTTTATTTTTTTCTTTTGTATATATATATAAATATATAAATCTGAAATGTATGTATATATATGTATGTATGTATACAATACAAGCTTTTAATTCTCAAAAAATTTTATTTTAAATGCAAATAATGCAATTTAAATTCCAAAAAGAAAAAAAAAAATTCTTTACTTTTATTCTTACTTTTGTGTTTTCTTTTCTTATCTTTCGGATTTTAGTTAAAAAATAAAAAACTTCACTTTAATTGTTATTTCGCCCTTTTTTTTTCTCTCTGTGATTTTTCAATATTTTGTTTTTATATTTTTTTATTTATATTAGTTATTTTATCCAATGAAAAAATTTATTGAATTTGATAAAATTTTTTTTTTTATGTGTGTATACTTTTTTTTACAATTCACGATTTTTTTCTTGTATTTTCAAAAATTTTTCCTTTTATTTTTATTTATTTTTTTTCTCTGTGTTTTTTTCTTTCAATTAGAATAAAATTTTTATTTTACAAAAAAAATTATTTCGCAAGATGAGAGCCGCTGTCTTAATAATAATAATAAAAAAAAAAATTTTATAATAAAAGCAATTTTTATTTTTTTTTTTTAAAGTTATTTTGCGAGATAAAGATATAACGAAAATATTAAGACCTTAATAGAACGTGTGAGATATAGTCAAGGTTTTATGACTTTAATTTACAAAAAAAAAAAAAATCTTTTATAAAAAAAATTTATCTGCAATCGCGCACTTTCTTTTTTTAATTATTTTTTTTCTTTTTCTTGTTTTTTTTTTTATATATTTTCAATATGTATGTATATATGTATTTCTTTTTATTTTCTAAAATATATTATTCTAAAAAAAACTTCTTTACTCAATCACTGTACGACGAGAAATGCATGCATTAAAAAAAAAAAGAAAGACAGATAGTGGAAAAAAAATTCGATGTGAAAAATTTTCATAAATAAAAATTTGTTTGTGTAAAAATGACATACGACGACGAACGACATCAAAGACCAGAACGGATGGAAAAGGCAACGAAAAATCAAAAAAAAAACATGTTTTTGGCTTTTATGGTTTATTGGGTTAATGTCAATTTTAATTTTTGGTTTATTAATTAGGGTTGTATAAAAAATATGATAGAGTTGTATTAATTTTAGAGATATGTATTTAGTTTCTGTAGTACACATACGATAAAATTTACGATTTATTCTGAGTCTGATGAAAGTTGTATATTTAAATAATGCTTGACGTCAGGCTTCGTGTGACAGCAAAATATATAAATTATTTTTCGAAATTTATACTAATTATAGACGTTGATCAAAATTTTTTTCGAAACTTTTGATCAACGATCAGCTCTATTTTGGTTATATTTTCGTAGCAAATTTTTAAATTTTAACGTAATTCAGTGTGTATTATAGAAAAAAAAAAAATAATAATCGGCCAATTGCGGTTTTCAAAAAACATCCTTTCCTGAATAAAATATTTTATAAAAATTGTATTTGGTTATTATTAAAACATTTTAAAAATTAATTATTGTAAAAAATCAATTTTAATTATGATTGAATTTGTTTGCAAAATCCTTACCAACTTGGGACGGCACATGTGGAAGAACTAATTAAAGTTAAGAAAGATTCCTATTTGCAGCAAATGTCAAAACTACAAAATGAAAAAAACAACAAGGCAAATATTATCAAAGAAGAAACAACTTGCTGCATCAAAAAAGTATTATCTGATGCTATAAAAATTGTTTGAGAACTTTCAAAAAACATCAAACTAAACGTAATGCTTTTGGCAGAATATTAGCAAAAACGTGATGCAACTTTAAACTTAACTTTATATCGACGACCTGAATTGCAAAAACAACCAAAGTAGCAACATAATGTCGCATAGTACATACACACGAAAATTGACAATGTCAAAAAAAAACGGCGATTAAATTAGCGGCTGTAATTTCAATTGATTCTATGTGGTGCCATTTATATTGTGTATTCCATATATATTCTGGAATTTCCTTGTGGAAAATCGTTCTTATTCTATGTTGAAAACAGAAATATTTAAATTTGAATACATATTTAAGCTGAAAACAGAACAAAAGCTAATTTTGCCAGCAAAATCTTAGAATTCATATAGAATACACACATATTTAACTGGGACTACTCAGAATAAAGTAAAGCTTCCGCAGCTAATTTTGTTTAGCGGTTTTTTTTTGCATTATCTGTTTCGTCGCTCTGGTTCTGTTTTTACATTCATATCAACAAGTCCGAAGGAATATATACATATATGTATATATGTATATTCTGGTTTGAATCACACAAATTATGTATACCGTTTCTCTATTCATTTCTTTGGGTAGAAGTTTGATTTCTGTCCAAAAGTATTGACATAAAAAAAAAAAAAAAACAGGTTTTGCTTAATACTTTGGGATTAAATTTATTTTATTACTATAATTTTGAATATTAAATCTTATAAAATATCTTATATTGTGCTTTAAATAGTTATATTATTATTATTATAGGTATTAAATTTTATATAGCGTATAAAAAATTATTAATTATATAATGCTTGTTCTTGTTTATAAACTGCATGGAAAGCATTCCTTATTAAAACATATGGGAAACAGGATTCTAATAAATCCATAGTCAAAAATGGAGATTGTTGAACAATTTCATCTAATAACAAGTAAACAGATTCTCGATTTCTTGTAGCCTCCTTATCTGATTCTTGCCCAAGCCGTAACAATGAAGAACTAGCTAATGCCAAAAATTCTTTCATTCTGTCTTCTATGTCATTTTGCCCACATATAGTAAACAGCGCTCCAAAAATACTGTTTATGGCTGTTGCCATGCAGTGAATATTATTTGAATGAGCGTCCAATGAAGCTCGATAAAACGAACCTTCATTTCTTGCCAATTTCGGTATTGAAACCGCTACAAAAACCATTAACAAGCAGGTAATTAGGTGTTCACCTTCATCAAATTCGGGTTTTTGAGATTTTAAGGTATTAGCCAAAGTTGGATCAACTTTACAAGGTAAACCCGCAGCCGTAGCCATTTCGGATGCTACTTTTATTTGGTCTCCACCTGGCAAATGTTCTTGAAGATCGCGGATAGAACTTAATAAAAACGGAATGCGCTGCTCTAATACATCGACTAATGCTTCATGAACTAAATTTCTGAAACATAAGATCACCCCAATTATTGTCATTCTTTGTAGTACGTTATCGACCTGCTGCAAACGTTTAAAATAATCCTTCATAACTTCTGGCTTGTCAAAGCTTGTTCTCAATGTTATAAGAACATCTTTATTAATAGCAACCAGTCTCTTGAGCTCTTGAACTTGATTAGCGATATGCCACATTAAACTTTCATTTAAAATTTTTATTCCATACGGTCCGACCAGCTCTACTAAAGCTCGCAATTCTTTTAAATCAGAAAATTCTTGAGGATTAAAGGGGACGCAGCCATCTGTAGTAATATGAACAAACGCCTTTTGGTTTTTCGAGAAAACTATATTTCCAGTACTTACACGGCGAAGAAGAGCATCAGAGTACCTAAAAAGTAAAAAGGAAAAACAACTTTATAAAAGTATTTGAAAAGTATTTGATTGAATTATTTTTACCATGAATTATAATGAGCGGCAATGGTTTTTTCTCCATGAGAATCTTGAGACTGGGTTTGTTGCAATAGACAATTATTAAATACTCGAGTTATATCAATGTGAACGTAATTTTCAACAGTTTGTAATACATTCATATAAGCTCGAACTGAAGCTAGTAATTCAGATGGTTTTGCAATTTCCATTGTTTCTGGATTAAACATTACCATTCCCACAAGAGCCCTTGAAAATCGATTTTCTAGATGTTGACATAAATACTCTCTTGGAGCAAATGCAAACTCCCACACATTTACTGTTGGGCAATAGTTAATGGCAAAACAAAGTTCTGTCAATGCCATATGCAGCTTGTCCATTGTAGTTAAATCTTCTCTGGTTTTTCTGTAGCTCTCATCTCCAGGTTTTCTGATGTCATCTATTTGCTTTTTATTTTTATCTTTTTTCTTGCGGGAAGCTTGTACAGAAAGTATTTTAGCACAATGTTTAGGTAACAGAGCATCTGCCATTATTCCCTGTTCTTCACATATTGTTGTTATAATATTTTTCGCTTCTTTAGCCATTTCTTCCAAAAACATATTTACTACAGAGAGAGAACGTTCGCGAATATGATGACGCTCTTCTGGGCACATTTCATGCGTACAATTTTGAAAATGACTGCATATCAGAGGAAAAGCAATTATATAACGGTTTTGTGCTGGAAATTCCAAACACATATGAAACTGATCTTCAAACATTTTACTATAGAAACAAAAAATTGATAGATCTGAAGTTTCAACTAATATTTCGTCCAAATTATCAACAACTCTTGTATGAAATACCATTGAGTCCAATAGTCGTGCCATTTCCACATGTTCAGTGATTTTTATAGCTGCCTTCCCAACACTCATAAACGTTTGAAGTCTGAACCAGTCTAATCTAAATGGTCTGAAGTCAAAAATTTCGTTATCTTCCACTTGTTTCACTGTCAAATTAGAAGATGTATTATATAGGGAGGACAAAATAACACTTTCATCATCTGGGCATATTTGTAGACTTTGCATTCTTTGACCTAAATCAATTGTATCAAAACCAGATAAATATTGCACGTAATATCTTTGCATAACTTGGCTGTACTTGCGAACCAAAGCTCTTAACTCTTCCATATGAAATAAAAGCTCTGGCAGCTGCCGGTCTACTAAATCTTCTGAGGCTTTGCCTTTTCCTTTAGCAAGTGGAGGATTATCATTATGTCTTAGAAGCCATAAAATTTCGTCACGGGCGTAGCATAAACCAATAAATATAACCAAAGCCTTAGGACCCAAAAGACCTATAAAAAACATTAGTCATAACAAGTGCCACTTTTTTTAAATATAACATTTACCTGGCTGATCAGTTAAAATTATTGCTAATTCTTTTAAAGCTGTTCTTAAAAACTTTCTCCTTTCTCTATGAATTAAAGAAGCCTTCTGTATAGCTATATTATGAGCTTCTTTTACTTCAGATATTCTTTTCCCATAACCCTTTATACCATCAAAAGTGTTATGTATATACTGATGAATATGAATTACTTCATCACGAAATAGGGCTATAACCCAGTTACATTCTAAAGCTGATAGCCACATTTTTGTAATTTCTGGTAATTGGCCAAGCATTTGATGATTTAACAATAAACCGAATATTATCCATCTATCTAAACTTTCCAGTGAAATGTATTCACAAGACATTATATCAGTTTTAGTTGCTTTTAATAATGTTGCAGGATTTCCAACTAAGCTTAGCTTTTGCGTATCTCTCCATTTATCCGCTGTCAAATTTCTAAAAGGATGTACTGCCAGCAATGATTTAATAGCATTCGATAAAAGGCGTTGATGCGGAATAAATTCTTCAGAAAGCTTTTTCAATGGGACATCATAATCAATTATCATTTGTCCAAGACGTGGAAAACTTTGATCTGTTTGATTATTTTGTAACTCATATGCTGCATTAAAAAGCCCTAAGACTGCTTTACGATCTTCAACTCTTGATAACAGAATCATTAAAGATACATAAGTAACAACTAAATCTAAATAATTTTTAGTCAACTCATAATTTAAAGTCAAATCCAAATGAATTTGGCAAGCATCCATTGTTGTAAGCAATTCACAAACATTATCCTTAAAATCTAATAGGTCTACAAATGTATAATAATACAATGACAGCGATTTGATGATTTCATTCTTTATATTAGTAATCGCACTCAATCCCTTTACATCAACATTGGGGAATTTTTTAATTATAAATTTTATTGAAGATTCCAATGTTTTCTCGGATAAAAATCCTGGTTTAGATTTTGTATCTCCGCAAGCTTTTTTAATATTATATATTCTAGTTAATATACCAACACCTCGATCATTTAATATTATAAGTTTTTCAGCAATTTTTTGCTGATTGGGGTTTATTGATCTGGCCATCATTACATCAAAATAATAATTTTATTTTTTTATATTCTGGTACCACAAAATATTATATGAAATGTCAGAATGTTACTTATTTTTATTTTAACTGAAACCTTTATTTTATAATTTTATTTACTTTTTTCTTATTTGTTTATAATAATTATAAATATTTTGAAAATTAAAATTTTAATTTATAATTTCACGCCCATTGTAGAAAAATATTATTTCAATTCAACACGAAAACTGACATAAAATTCATCTAAAAAATCACCAATAAATAAATGTGGTGAATAAATTAATAAATGAAAGCATGTTTATATGAACTTTTATATAATTTGTTTGAAGAAATTTTTCAAATAAAATAATTAAAATATAAAATTGCGCAAATTCTAAATTTAATTTGTTTTATAAAATTTTCAAAATATAATTATGTATATTGATTTTCACCATCATCTATCATGTTATTACACCTGCTCCAGTAGAGGTTTTTATTTAGAAAATTTCATTTATTCGCTTTTGTTTGTACTAAATTTGCGAGTAACGAGATTTGTTAAATTTACCCAAGTCATTAAAGAGCCTTAAAAAGATTATTACGTAATCCTCAAAACGAATTCAACTGCCGACAATAAAAAACCTAAATTACTATTTTTCTGCTGACGCTCTCGTCATCATCTGTGTGTAACATCACATCACATGCAAAATATTTAACAACTAATTTTACCGTTCTCCTCCTGTTAACAACGGAAATCATCCGCCGTTTACCACTTTGGTTCAATTTTTACAATTAAAATAGTTGAATTCAAATTCAACATGACTACTTGACATAAATAACATGTAAACAGTTTAAGTTTTAACTGTTTTGCAGAAGTGTAAAATAAAATAAAATTTTTATGCAACGTATCCAATTGTCATTATCAGCTGTTTATTGTTTTCAAAAATATCTATTGTAAAATTCTAGGCACAATACAATAGTGATTTGATTGAAATCGTGGGTATTTTTAAGAAGAACATAAAAAAATGATCAAAATCATTGATATTGTTGTGTAAATATTTCGGGATAAAAAAAAAATTATGAACAAATCTGATTTATTATTGAACGAAATGAATTCAGTATTTTCCAAATAAAAAAGAAAACTAGAAAAAATTTTAATATTTATTTTTTGAATTAGAATTATGAAACGAAATATTTTAAAAAGCAGCGTTCAACATGCTTATTTTAGCATTATTTTTCAGGTATGTCTTTTATTTTTATTTATGTTGATTTTTCTTATTATAAAAAAACAATTTCAATTTTATATGCCTATAAATTATATAAAATACCAGACCAATCCTAGACTCACATTATAATAGACACGTAATGGGTACATAATGTTCTTAAAATAGTACGCAATTTTATCTCCAATTGATCAACTCTCATAATTAGAGTATTATTATGCTTTAGTTTTGTTTTTGACTATACCTAAATTATACCCAACACAAATTTAATCAATCATTTTCTTTTATATATGATAAAATACAGAGATAATAAGGAACATGGAAAAATTGTATTTCGATGAACCAAAACAAGTGTCTATGAAATAAGCAACTAAAAATAGAATTAAACAATAAGAACTAAAAATTTTTTTTTTTTGGATGACAAAATTAAAAAAAAGTTCAAAATTTCTCAATGTAATTGACGGATTATGTATATACATATTAATATGATTATGTTATCCTTGAGATTATTATGAGGATATAACTAACATACGCGTTCACTTAACCAATAATTTGAAATTTTAATATTTTTAGATTTTTGTTTATATATGTAGTTTTTTCCTTATTTCAATATTTGAATTTAATTGTACATTTTTAGTAGTGATTTGTCATTTCAAATAATATTTAATTTAAAAAATCATATCGGAAGTGAAATATTTAGTATAGTTTTATTTATATTTATTAAGTTATAAACAAAACAAAGTTATGAAAAGAAAATAAAGATCAAGGCAACATTGTTGCTAAACAATATTGGAGGATATTTGACATAACAAAGAAAAAAATATTTGTAATGTCACGGAAAGGCTTAAAATAAATGCAATGACACTTTAGCAATTGACAATAAACAAAATTTTACAAGTCAAATTGAATTGGAAAATTAAATATACTTTTTTGGCATAGTTACCTTTAATCGAAGACTTTAATAAAATTAAAATGTATAATATCAAAGAGAAGGGAACTTATTAAAATTGATAAAAAAATAAATTTGGAAACTTGTAAGTCAATACTATTTTTCGTAAAATAATTTTTGAATTAAAATTTTATTTTATTCTTTATACTATGTAATTTTAGATAAAATACATCTATATATACTTATGCCTTTAATCTGTCAAATATTCGTTTATTATTGGAGTATAAAATATAAACAATTCAAATAAATAAATTAAGTAGAATCGAATTAGTAAAATAAAACTCTGACAAAAAAAAAAAAATTAACGTAATGGAAAAATCAGAGACACAAGTGACTACAACAAATCCAAGAAGAAAAATTTTATCTATGGCAGTATCAAGTATATTATTAGAAAAAGGATTTGATAGCGTTGATAAAATCTGTTTAGAAACATTAACAGAAATTATACAATCTTTTATAATTGAATTAGGTCAATCTTCGAGAAATTATTGTGAATTATCTGGTAGAACTGTACCAGTTATTGGAGATGTAGTATTAGCTTTAATTAATATGGGGATTTCAATGCAAGGTTTTGATGCATTCGCAACAAGAAGTAATCGTTTAATTATAACTCCACCACAACAAGTACAAGCACAAAAACAATTAAATTTATTACAAGCTGGTACAAAATGCTCTCATCCATCGCATATACCAAATTTTTTACCAGTTCTACCAGATCCGCATGCATATGTTAGAACACCAACGCATAAGCAACCCGTTACAGAATATGAAGCAATTAGAGAAAAGGCAGCAAATCAAAAACGTGATGTTGAAAAAGCATTAACAAAATTTCTTTCTAAAACAAGTGAAGTTCATACATTATTCGATACAGAAGATAATTTATTTCCTTTAATTGCTTGTAAATCATCATTTCCACCATATTTAGCAGCATTAAATCCAACTGATCAAGTTTTTGATTTTGAAGAATTAGAATATCATTATCAAGTTGCAAATAGAACTGAAGATGCCAAAGATAATGAAAATGAAAGCGGAAATGAAGAAGAAAATGAAGAAAAGGGTGAAAAAGAAATAAAAATAGAACCCGAACAACAAATAAAACCGAATTCATCTACAAATAATGCCATTTTAAATAATCCTAACATAGATAATCCTTATTTACGTGCAGCAACATTACCTAAAAAAGCAAAAACTTCAAATCCGTTAAATGTATAATGAACTTGACAAGAATTACATGTTATATTTCTTTTAAATAAATTCAATTTTAAAATTTTTCAATTCAAAAAATTTGTTTTATTTTTAACTAAAATGCTTTAACTCCGAATTTCTTTTATAATCATTTGTCAGAATCAAAATTTTATATTTAGTTTTACCATTTTTATAAAATTTTATTCATAATTTGTATTTATTTTTGTAGATTCTATGTAGAATCATCACGTTTGGTATCAATGCTTTCATAGTACGTAGTGTAGGCCGAGAAGTTCTCGGTATAATGAATGTTAGACTTCTTTTACTTGAAAGTACTCTGTTATTTTTATCACGTGAAGCAATTTCGAGAGCTGTATTAAGCGTTTCGACTCAGCATAAGGGGAGATGTAATTGGCCCCAAATTATAAATCAAGTTTGGTTAACGTAATTATAACGTTTATAATAATCATATTTTATTAGTTAAAATGTTAACTTTTTTTTTTCGTTTTATTTTAGCGTTCCTATTTGCTTTATCTTATCCATTCCATGTCTATACATTTGGCTAGCAATATTATCACCTGTTGAAGATTCTCTTTGGGAACAATATAAATTTGGATGTTATTCGATGGCTATATCCTGTATTGTAGAATTATTTGCAGAAGCCCCAGTATTTGTAGCAAAAGTGTTTTGTTTTGTAAAATTAAAAATTGCAATGGATACTTTACATATATTTATTCGCTCAATAGTATTTTTGACGATTGTCTTTCATGACAAAGAAATTTGTATATACGCTTTTGCAATAGCACAGTTTTGTAGTGCTTCATTTATTGTAGTAGGATTTTACAGTAGCATGCATTATTATATAAAGAATGAGCAAGCAAATAATTTAGACAATGGCGATAAAAAGCGAAGAAATTTATCAGATTTTGAAAGTTTTCCATTTAAAAATATTATTGAAATGATACCTGGATATTTACCTAACGATGTAAAGAATCTTTAATATTCGTATATTAATTCAATATTAATTTATTTTTATTTTATTTTCTAGGAAAAGAAATTTAATACTGAATTGCAGGTATTAACATTAAGTTTTGTAAAACAGGGTGTATTTAAGCAGATTTTAACGGAAGGTGAAAAATATGTGATGTCAATTAGTCCAGTACTATCTTTTTCAGAACAAGCCACTTATGATGTTGTAAATAATTTAGGAAGTTTAGCAGCTAGATTCATTTTTCGTCCAATAGAAGATAGCAGTTACTTTTACTTTACACAAACAATTTCAAGGGATCTCAGCTTAATTAGACAAGACAAGGTAAGTTTTAATCGAAGATATTTCCATTATTTTGAAGATTTAAGAATAAATTGAGTAGCATAAATTTGAAGGCATTACAATATTTTGTAACTTTTATTTTACTTAAAAAAACCTTTTATTTTAATCTTGAATTTAAAAACAAAAGAAAAGCTCATTCGTTCGCCTTGATAATCTTAAATTAACACATAATGTCGGTTATTTATTTATTATATTTTTGGTAAGGTTGATTGCAAAACAACAAAATGAAACATCGGATTATAGGCGAAACTTAATTATTTATTTTTTATAAACTATAATTATTACAATGTCTTTTTTATAAATAAAATATTCAAAATATCTTTTCTCAGTCCAGCTTTTATACGAACGTTATAACATACAACACATTATTATTAATTCTACAAACTCGAATATTTAGAGCGTACATTAAAATATTTGAGAACATTACGACTTATAAATATATTTGGTTATAAATTATTTACTAAAATGTAGACAAGGTACAAACATATAAATTAAAATATACACATAAATCTTAGGAATGTTAAATATCAATGTTGATTTGAGTTTATGATAAATGGCAAATAAAAATTTTTGGCGTGGAATCAAAAAACAAAAAAAAAATCTAACGTAGAACATAGCATGAAAACTTTCCTTTATATAAGCTTATCAATAATTTTTTTATAACATAATTAAGCGTATCCTTCTACAGATACATGCTGCCATTGTCCTGGAATACCAATATGCCAGCCAGCTCCAGCTGGATTATCTTTGGTAATACCAGATCTTTTACAAATTGCTCCACTTAATGATGTTGCCCAAACTTCATCACCAACTGAAACACATTTAAATCCCACACATCCTTCTGTATGCGGTGGATCACCAGCTATATTTGGTAGCACTTGCCAATGTGTACCTTCAGGGAATGTTGTGTTTATTTCTTTTCTCACAGCTAATTTACCTTTTGAATCAACGGCCCATACTCCTTTAATGCCGATTGCAACTTGTTTAAATGACAAATCATTAGCACTTTTAACAACTTGCCACGCATCGCCTTGTATGTTATCCGATGTTATACCGTAACGATAGAATACGGAGCCGTTCTGGCCAACAGCCCAAACATTATTTTCAAAACTTCCTATAGAAATTAGTGGCGGATCACTTGATACATGTTCCCATGAATAGCCACCAGGGTTTGATGGTGATACGCCTTTTCGTATTAAAACATCACCATTGGTTGCAACTGCCCAAACCATTAACAATGCATCTACTTCTTCAGAATCATCTTCATTTTTGGACATTGATATTGAAACATCAACAATTTTTGAGTTACCTATTTCTTGCCAGGGCCCTGTTGTGGTCAAGCGACATTTCCTAAACCATCGGCGTCTTCTTACATAGTCAGTAAATTGTTTTGTACCATGATAAGATGCTGGAAAATCAACTGCATATTGCCAGCCATCACGATCAACGCCACCTGGAGTTTGAAAATCAACTAACCAATCGGATATCCATTGCCAGTGCATAGACAACAACTTTGTGTGTTCTTTGCTGCGTTTATGACGTCCTGTTATATCACTCCACATATGACGATCGGTAGGTAAACCTGTTGTAGTATATCCACTTAAAGGATTCCATCTCTGGTTCTCATATATGTAGTAATTTAAAGCATCTGCCATTGGATTAATTTTACCAGTGCAGGCCTCTAGACCTTTTAAAAATTGACCACCCCAGCCGCCAGTGTAGTACCATGCCGTATTATCAGATCCAATACCCCAAACAACTCCTGTTTTAGAACTATAAACCTTTTTCAAATGACCACCAATTTGCCTCCAAAATATGTCGCGAACTGGTATAATTATACGAGGACTTCGGTACGAAATATTAAAGAGTTTAATACGGCCGCTTACATATAAACAAGTTACAGCTTCGGGGTCCATACGATGTTTGAAATCTGCAAATGGTTTATTATTTACTTCTATGATATATCCTTGAATAGTTGAGCGAATTATTAATGTAAAACTACTGCCCGGTGAAAATACTACGTTTTTATATTGCAATTCTGTCATCCATTCTGAATTCTCCATCGAATTGAGAATAATAGACTTTTCGTTAAAACGCGGATTAATATGCATGGCAATAACCCTCAGCTTTTCAACTTTATGCCGAAATTTTATATTTGGGTGACTTTGTAAATCGAATCGGATTTGATCTGCATCTTCAGATATAAAGCCACTAATTTCAAGTTCGGTACCTGGTGACATACCGTTGTGCAAAATGTTGTAGTATGGTGTCTCTGTTGCTGATAAATCAATTTTTTCGGTATAACATTTATTTTCAGTATCAAATTGAGTCGATTTGAGACCAACAGCATCAAATACAAATATTTCACCCAGATTACTAGTAACCCAAATTGCGTCGTTTGAAGGTTTTCCTAAAGTTTCATTAATTTGACAACACACAGATGTTAAATGGGAGAGCCAGTCTTCCATTTCCAATTCACCGGCGAAAAGTAATTTAACAGGCGAGAAACCAGTTGGCAACCTCGGAGCATGAATAGCAATTTTTGGCGAGCCAGGCTCACTGCATGTTTGCACACATGTAATTTCTGAAAGCGAAAATTGCATTTTAGTTGTAAAACCATCTGGACTTAAAATTGTGAATGTTCCAGAGTCCTGTTCTCTATTCGTCGAAGAAACCCATTCTAATTCTATTAGGCATTCCTCGAAAGTTCCACCAGGTTTTTGTGCTCTAGCTTCTCCAGATTTTATCCAGGAGGACATTTCTATTGCTTTTTGACATCGTTTTAAATTCAAACCATCAACAGTTTTGGAAAGTGTTTTTAATCGTTCAAGAATACTAATCCGCCATTCTTTTTTCAACTCTTCCTGATTATCTGAACTAAGATGGTCATTAAACCAATTTGGCAGATTTAGTGGGTCAATTTCCACTGCCCCAGCCGAACAACCAATCCAGACTATATCACATTCAGTAAAATATTGGGATCCTGACACATCATCGTCAGCAAAAACATCAGTATCTCTTGAATTTTCAGGATCAAATACTGCCAAATCAGTTTCTGGATGTGCTTCGGCACCGACAATTGAACCAACACTTCGTACAGGTGACCAAGCTCTTGGGTTTTTCAATTTAATTTCGTAATGCATTTTTGAAATATCTTTGACATCTGCGGCGGGTGCACTAGATGAATGTTGACTAGATTCTCGAATATGCGGTTGATGTATGCCGGATTTATGATCCGTTAAACTTCCAGCAGAATATTCACTAACTCCTCGCCACAACTCTGGTTTGTTGCGTTGTTGAGCAGGTAATTCACTTGGGGCGCTATTAAGTCCCTCAATCACTTGAGGCTCCTCCACTTGTGCTTTTTCTTTAAATAATTTACATAAACTTCCAGGTTTGGAACCTGATGAAGCACTGCCACTCTTTCTTGATAAAAGACTAACAGTAGATGAAGTACGGCTCATTTGCATAGGACATTGAATTAAACGCCATTTTTTTCCAGTTAAATCCGATTTACTTACGCCTGAACGAAAATATAATGCCCTATCTTCAGAGCCTATTGCTAAAACTTGATCATTATGAGCCACCGACACCATTGATATATTACCAACCATTTCAACCCAGTTGTTACCAATAGCAGCATCTTCACTTATACTGGCTGCTTCACCTTTAACTCCACGTCGGAACCAAACATGTTGATCATTAGTAACACACCAAACTGAATCTGTACCTACCGATAGCTGAATAATTTTAAGTCCATTTCCCGGTGGTTTGACTTCTAACCAGCTTTCTCCATGCAGTCTGTCTTTGGATACACCAGAACGAACTAAAGCTCGACCATTTGCTAAAGTTGCCCAAACTAAGCCAGTTGCGCCTACACTAATTTGAACTACATCATTTCCTGGTTGTGTACTTATTGCAGTCCATCTTAAGCCTTCAGGTGATGTAGTACTGACCCCTGAACGAAACATAACTCTGCCGTGCGATGTTACTGCCCATACAACTAAAGTTCCTGTAGGTGCAGCTGGTATATTTTTTCCACCAACAGCAACATCCATAAAAGGTTCTTCAGTAGGGTCTTTGTGCAAAGGTGCAACTGCACACCATGAATTTAAAGCAACATATCGTCTGAATCTTACCCACTTACGTCTTCTAACGTATGTATTCCATGCTTTTTTAGTTTGATAAGTAGCAGGAAAATCTAAGGCATAAGTCCAACCATCATGGTCAAGAGATTGACCATCTAAATTAAGATCTAACTGCCAATCACCTTCCCACTGCCATGCCATTGATGGTAATCTAATTTTGTCAAAATTACGATCAGTAGTTCCATCAATAGAAGAAAATTTATATCGATCGGTTGGTAATAACTTCTTTGAAAATCCTTCGATAGGGAACCACCTTTCATTTTCATAACTTTCTTCTTTGACACGTATTGGTACATCTAAACCATGAACATGAACGTATACTTGTCGATCACCACCTATTGCCCACATAAAATTATGGATGGCTGATACTTTTTTAAATTCGAAACCTAGATATTGAAATTCTCGCCATGCTGAAGAATACGTGGATAAAGTATAAACTCGTCCTTCATTATTAATCGCATAAAGCACAGTACTTGGCATTTTTGAGAACTGGTAGATCGTGGCAAGTAGTTACCTTGAAAATCGTTTTCCAGAAGTCTAATTGTTACTGCATGGCAATGTAATTTAAATAACTGCAAACGAAATATTTAAGTAAAATATTTATTAAATTTTAGAATTTTTGCTCACTCCGCAGCTCTACCAAATCATGAATATGAAATCACTTTTTATTTTCCTATTTTTTTGTTTATTTGTCTCCTTTCTGTCTGTCTTACAATAGCAGCAATTTTTCTTAGGAATTTCTAAGCAACAAAGAGTATTAGAATATGGCAATAAATTATGTTTAGAAACATATGTTTATATACATATTTAAGTTGGATATGTTGATTCAACAACCTGTTGATATTATTTTGCCTAAATATTAATTTTGTAGTCTGAAAGTACCTTGAAATAAAAAGATAAAGGAAGTGGAGTTACCAAAGTCTTAAATTTGAAAAGCTCTTAAGTTCTTTAAATTTTAATTACTGAACTTGCATCCCCTCTGCAAAAAAGTAATTTAACCTTACTAAAAAAAACTTAAACTTAAAATTAAATTTATTATTTTTTATTTTGTTTCTTTTAGGAAAAAGTAAATGAAACTGGATTTGTACTTAAAACATTATTTATGATAATTACATCTGTTGGAATAATAATATTTGTTTTTGGACAATATTATTCTGGCATAGCACTATATTTATATGGTGGTGCTGATTTCGTATCTGATGGGCTGTCAGAAAAACTTTTGCGATGGCATTGTTTAGCTATTTTGTTTTTAGCTGTTAACGGAATAAGTGAAGCATTCATGTTTGCCACGAATTCTAGCATTGAAATTGACAAATATAATGTATATATGGCTGGCTTTTCAATTGTATTTCTTTTATCTTCTTATTTACTGACTAATATGTTGGGCCCCGTTGGATTTATCGTAGCTAATTGTGCTAATATGTTTTGCCGCATATGCTATAGGTAACATATAAAAATTATTGCAAACATAAAATATTAACACATTTATATTGTTTTGTAAATAATTAACAGCGTTAGATATATTAATAAAAAATTTGAACCAGTATCAATAAGACCATTTGATGGATTTTATCCAGGAAAAATGTTTTCATGTTCCCTTATTGTAGCTGTTGTAATATGTTTTATGTTCCAGGTAATTATTTCATAATCTACCAGGACCAGGCAGGCATACAGTTTTTAGATTGACAAGTGCGCATGCAAATGCATTTTCATATGCAATTAAGTAATCAAATAATTTGTAATTTTTTACCAAATGATCGAAATTTGGTGATTCCATATAGTTTAGTTGCTTATTTGATTTGCAATCATACTTCAATCGCAAAAACTTAAAATTGCATACCTGCCAGGGCCCTTAAAATATTGTAGGCATGTTTCCTAAAATTTTATTTTCAAAAAATATATGTATGTATGTATGTATGTAGTATATAATTAAATTTCATACTATTTAGTTATTAGAAATTTCGTAATGTTTGCTTTTATTTGCAGGTATCTCACACAACTAATATTTTACTTAATTTATTTGTTGGAGCCTGCTGTTTCATAATATGCTTATTTAGTTGGACATTAGAAAATAAGACATTAATAAAGACGTTATTAAATAAATACGCAGAGAAACGTGAACTACAAAGACGCATGAGTATGACTACTGAAACCAAAGATAATCATCACACAAAAGTAGAATAAAAATTTCTTAAATTTGTTTTTTTTTTTAATAAACAGAAAAAATTTGTTTTACTATACATCCTTTATACAATATTAATGTAAATAGTGTTTTTCTTACCTAAATATGTAAAATTAATTTATGAGCTTAAATAAATAGAAAAAGGAATTCCAATAAAATCATTATAAATTTTCAAACATAATTTTAGTTCATTTATTACAAAAAGAATTTCTTTAGTTCAATATTAAAATAAGTTAGAAAATTAAGATTGTAATACTCTTTGTAATTTAATTAGTTTCCTAATTAATTTCATTCAACATTCACTCTACAATAATTATTACACAGTAATATATAAATTTCGCGGTGACGCATTCCGTTTTTCTTACAGATATCTTATTACTTAGTATTTAAAATAAAATTTGTGTAATGATTGAGCTTAGAACATAAATAAAAAGCTTCGAAAAATCGTAGAAATTTTTGTTGAATATTCAAAAGTAAAAAAAAACGTTCTGAGCAAGCGTATCGCGTTGTGATACAATTGTGTTTTACACCGAAATACTAATTATGTATGTAAAATGTTGGTGGCAGGATTTCATTATTATCTAAAAACGAAAGTAGCGAAGTTTTAATGCACTTCAAAATTTTGCATAGTGAGAAAAACAACAACGACTTAATATGCTGCTAAGGCGTATGTTTTGACAGCAACATTTACCTACATTGAAGCGTAAATTTTTTTTACATTTGTCAAAATATTAATTGCATATTTGCTTCATGATTATGTTTATGCCTTCCGAACACGGAACGACAAAATCAACAGTTTAGTATATTGCATAATATAATATCACACATCTAATATGGAAACAGATGATATAAAAAAAACGCCAGCTGTAAAATAGAATTAACGGTAAAATTCGCGGCGATAATTTCGCTTCATTCTTTGCAGTCCCATTTATATAGATATGTATTTTATGTGAATTTGATATTTCGCCATGAAAAATCGATCTCTTTTTCTATTTTGCAATTAAAGGAGAAACTTATATAATATATTAATTTATGCTATCATTTATCAGCATAAAATGTACTAAATATGTAAATATCGTACTAAATTTTTTCTTCACTGTAAACACTACATTTTCATAATATGTATATAATGTACAATTGTACTGTACATAGTAAAATATCAAAAGAAAATTAAAGGTGATTTCACATTGAAATTTTTTATTCTAAATAAACAAACACTAAAATAGAATGGAAACGGAATAAAAATAAAAGAAATATAAAAAAAAATTTGTATTTTAAAGATTTTCGAAGGTAATGAGCTAAAAAGAGAAAAAGAAAAGTTCTCATTTATTTTGAGTATTAAAATGAAAATTTCCGTTTTTAAATTCAGTCTGCTACTGATGTTCAACCGTATAAGTTGTTTTTAATTAAAAAATGATAGTTCAATTATATTTATCGTAATTCACAATCATTTATCGTACATCATATTAATTTTATTGTTTTAATCGAAATAATTAAATTTTTTTTTTTTTGTGTTCTAAAGAGAAAAGGTGTAGCGTCTTTTTTTTTTTTTGAATTAAAATTCTTCTCATTGAATAAAAAGAATGAGTTAAAAAGCATTTATGCATTTTTTGTATGTGTGAAATTTGTTTTAATAAGAATAATAATAATAAAAAAAATAAGAGGGAAAATTCATAAAAGGAATATACAAAAATAAATACAAAGTGAAATTTAAAAAAAAAAAATGCAAGAAAATTTTTAAATAAATTTCAAAAGTAAATGCAATTTTTTTTTTTTGATTTTGAATTTTTTTTAAAATATCTTTATTATTAAGTTTTAAATTCTTGTATATTATATGGATGCATGTGCTTTATATGTATATTAATAATTAAATTGTTAATTACATTATTGTAGATTAAAATTAAAGTGAAGAATCGCAGTTGGTTGTTGTTAGAATAAAAAGTATAAAATCAAAATCAAACAAACACAAATACAAAATTTGAAAGCAAACAGCAACGTCATATTCACATAACAAAAAAAAAAAATAAAAAAAAAATATTTTTAACTTTTAAATGTGATCAAAGCAATCTTTTTAAATTTATTTGAGTTTTTTTTTTAATAAAAATTAAAATAATTTGTAATCATTTTGGAATATTGAAAAATATTACATATGTGTACACACCGGTATAATTAAGAATTTCATAAGATATTCAAAGAATTTCTATTTGTTTATAAATTTACATGCAACTGATAAATTCAAAAAATTAGCAATGTAAATTTTCTCGATTTTGATGATTTTGTGAAGTGAAATTTTAAAAATTTAAAATCAAAAGGGGACAACTAAAAAAAGAAGAAGAATTTTTCTATAATTGTTACAAGAGAAGATAATCAAAAATTTAATTGAGAATTAATTGAAAAAAACGAAGCTACTTTTTACATACATATACATATTTATTTTCAATAAACGAAAAATTGGGTAAGTTAGCTGTTAACTATTTTTCAGAAATTTTTTATTAATGAAACAGAAGGGAGTATGTAGTCATTATGCCAGACGCCCTTAATTCAAGCCTATATTCTAAAGCCTTCATTGTTATGAGTGGAATTTTTGTTATTAGGGTAGTGGGCGCTAGATCCTGTAATGTCAAAAATTTTCAACAAGAATTTTGTTGTTATAAAATAGCATTTTACGCATAACTTGTAAAATACATACGCATTTTAAATGTTTGTTTAGGTAATTTAATGATGTTGTAACCTACCTAAATCAAGTACATGCATATGTATATAAATAAAATATAAGTACATTATGTATGTATATAGCAACCAATATGAATTTTATCCAATAAGATTTTTTTTATTTTGGTCAAAAATTATTTTCCAATAAGTAAATTTAAAAAACAGTAAGTACCTAGATAGGTACGTGATTTATTGCCATTGTACTTTTAAAGAATCTAGGTATATTATTATTAGTCTCGTATTATTAACACACATATATACACATGTATATTTAAAAATAAATAACGATTTTAAAACAAATAATTCTGTTTAATTAATAAAATAGTGTATTAATGTTGTTGACACAATATGTTATATAAGCAACATTACCTTATACATGCACAGGTATAGATAGTCAGTATGAGTACTCGTAATGTACCTACTGTTATAAATTTACCAGCTGCATAAATATTTAAATACCTACTTACATTGTAAATTTATAAGTAGTACAAAAATAAAACGTGCATACTTATTTTTTTATATTTTTATAATGACTAAATGCAGTTAAATATACATATACAAATATAATGTATATGTATATAATATGTATAGTTTAAGTAACACATATTATTATGGAATATAACTTTCTTATTTTGAATGAATTTTACACGTTCAATTGAAATTGTATTTTCATACGTCATAAATATTTTTTCATTCATTAAAAATGAAGAATAAAACGGACTAGACAATGGCAATATTTAACTATATGTATGTATGTAAATAAATATAAAAATATACTATACTTATATGTACATAAATATAAGTATAGTATAACAGATGTACATATAAACATTTAGGTAAAGAATTAGGTGAAATATTTTTGAAGTTATGGGTATTTAGATTTTGAACTCTAGAACAAGAGTGTATTATACCAAAAAAAAAAAAATTATTGTAATCAAACAATGTTATCATTTTCAAGTAGAGGTAATCTAATAAAAGTTTATAAGAAATAGAAATTAGGAGGAGAAATAATACAGTGATGGGACTTTAATTGCTTGCCAGTCTAGATCTAAGAGTACCCTTGCCAATAGTAGAATCAAACAACAAAAAAGCTCGTCATTTAAAAGCATAAAATTTAAATCTATTTTCTATATCGTATTCCAATATATTTTTACTAGAATTAATATTTAGACAAATAATTTGGGTTTTCAATGGTCTTGAACTTGGTTTATTTTATTGTAGTTACGAAGTTTACATAAGGAGAACGGTACAGCCTGCATATGTATATGAAAGTAATGTACACATTACTTAAACTACCACGCACAATATTAACCAAAAATATACAATAAGTACCAATATGTGGTTTGCATGCAAAATATAAAAAAAAAAATAAATAAGAAAATATAAAATTTGCCATGTGGTTAATTTTAAATAAAAAGCACGTTTTATAAAACATTTTTTTCGAACAAGGAAAGTTTTAAGTTGTACTACAATACTAATATAGAAAAATTTAGCATTTTGGCAGTCGTCGTTAAATTTTTAATGTTAAAGTTTCACCATTCGAAATTAATGGCTTTAAATGTAAAAATTAAAATTCATAAAATTTTTTGATAAGTAAGATTGTAGACAATTTAAAATCTCAAGTAATTGATAAGTTAGCAATAAAGTTTTTAACAAAAAAACCTAATAAGTTGGCACATATACATATATACATACATATATAAATATGTATTACAGACATGAAAAATGCCAGAAAAGAAAGAATTTCATTAATATTTCAGCCAATTTAGTCATATTTTTTTTTTTGACTCGGACTAGAGATCTAACTAAATTAAGTTAATTATTTATAACTAGGAGTCAATATTTTTATTAATTTAATTTTCAAGAATTTATAATTATGGAAAATTAAATAGGCCAAAAAGGTATTTAAATAAATCGTGCAGCATTTGTGTATGTTTAATATCAAAACAGCTATGTAGAATCAAAGTGGTATATATGTATGTGTGTACGAAGCTATATAAAAGAATTCTAATTTAAGTGATATAAATATACAGATACAATACAGATTTTCGAAAATACATTTTAGGATCAAATACTTAAATAAGTAGTGACATTGTTGTAGATAATTATAGTTTATCTATTAAGTAATTAGTTATATTATAAGTATGTACTTAAACTTATTCAAACAATAAATTAGATAAGTACATAAGAATAAATTTGCATTAATTATAAAAATTTACAATTATAATAAGTGTATATACTGCTCTATCCAATTACATTTGCTCTATTCAATTACTTAATTGATAATGTACTAACGATACATACACATGTAAATGCTCTGGTATGTTTTGATAATTAAGTATACTTGAATTATTTCTCTAATTTTTAACCCTTCCTATAACTGATTTTAATAAAAGAAGTTATAGAAATCTGTTTTTTGCTGATAAAAAAAATCGTGTAGCTGTAAGAAAATTGTGCCTCTACATATTTATGCTTTAATGTTTTGTTTGCTATTGCACAATGCACAAACATTCCAAATACTTTAGGTTGGTTTTGATTATCATTTTTTATTATATTAAAAGTATAAGTACATTGCGATCATACATGTATATATAAACAATTTTTATAAATTTCAATTTTTATAATTTTCATAATTTATATAAATTATTTTAAAAGTAAAATAGTGACAATTAATTTTTGGGAAAGTTTTGAACAGCGATCAGCTGATTTTTATTCGGTTTATAATTTTCATAGCATACTCGTATTTTTGAATATTGACGTAAAGGTTAAGCACCGTCATATAATTTCAGTCTAATATTTAAACAGTCATCAGATTTTATCGTAGATTTTATTTCAGATTTTACAGTACTTATATGTAAATAGTACTCTGCTGTATTAAGTGTAGTGCTCAAGTTAAGTATTTAGTGATTCTCAAAAAAATCTCTTTAATAATAAAATTTGTGAATAATTTTATATTTATATCAACATTAGCTCTAATTTATAGACTTATAGAAAATTCTTATTAGAACGGTATTTTTGTTAAGCAACTAGATTTGGAGTTTAGCCATAAAGGGTTAAAATGCTACAAGAATTGCATTGAAAAGCAAGTTGAATTTCGTTTGAAACTGATAATTTCGCTTAGCATTTTAAATGCAACGCAAAAGAGTGCATTGTTTGCGATGCACCTTTCAAAATATTTTTAACTTTTTTGTTTATCATTTAAGTATTTATTATAGTTTCTCTCCCAACTTATTTTACTTCTTACAATGTGTGTATATGTATGCCATCGTTTTTGTTCATTAAATATACATATATGCAAGTATGTATTTAAACAAACAAAGAACAATGGGAAAATTTTGATCATTGAATTTTTCTTTTACTTATTTTTATTTTTATAATTATATATTTTTAGAATAAAAGAAAATATTGAGTTTGTAAAAATAATTTTCTTGATCTTGTTAATGTTCACTATTCTTATGTGCTTCTTGTGCATATAATTTTTAAATCTTCACAATTCACACTCACATACAATATACATACATAAGCTGCAGAGAGCTTCAGTTTTTGTGCATCAGGCATATTGTAAATTCCATATACTTACATACATTACATATACGAATCTAATATTAAAAGAGATAAGAAATGTGAGCCCAAAAATAACTGCAAATAAAATAATTTTGAAGAAAAAATAACTTGCTGCGTCGTCATTTGGGCTAATGACCCACAGAAATTCGAAAAAAAAAACAAACAAACAAAATAAAGAAAAAACTAAGTAATATTTCAAATATTCCAGACAGGTAAAACGACTTTCAATCAATTAAAGTTCACAGTCAAAGTACAAGCCAATAAAGAAGAGATAATGTGATAATGTGAATAAGGTACACACACCAATGCACAGCTATAATTATTACATTTACTCATACATTCATACATATATCTGAATAGGTCATCTAACTATATAAAAATTGTTTAAGTAGCATCGGATGTTTAGGAAAATAAATCAGGTCATGAAAATCTCAACTTTTGTTTGAAATGTTATTTATGTATGTACAATGTAAATATTTATGTTAAGTGATTAAACGTTTGTCTACAAGATTGAATGAATTTATATTCTCTTTACAGTTCTTTTGTGCCTTGGTCTTCTAAAAAAAAAAATTACTAAGTACAAAAAATGTATGAAGTCAGAAGAATTTTAACTTGTACTTGAATAGTGCTTTTGCCAAGTTAACTAACTTATTTGTAACAATGTGGTACTTATGTTATGTAAAAATAGGTGCCATGTCAAGTTTACAACATTTACTTAATTCGTTTTCAATTTGAATAATATATTTCACAGGCCAATGCAGATCGTCATACATATGTGTATGTCAGAAATGGTTAGAACAAAAATAGAATATACATACACACTTCCCTAGATTTAGTGGATATTTTAAGCCAATATTTTCTATTCAATGTCAAACAATTCACCAATTTGCAAAATGTGTGAATTACAAGTTGTATGTGCGTATATACTTATGTTTTATGTTACGTAATTAAAAAATATATATTTTGATTCAGAATTAAAAATAGGTACGTATACTAAATTCATTCAGTCCTATTACATTTAGTGCTGGTAATAATAATCGAGTTTCATAGTCATTCCAAGTCTTATGACAAAAAGGGAATTTTTTTAAAATATAATAAGTTGTAAAAAATGTAGACAAATTAATTTACTTATTTTAACATACATAAACATTTATATTTGTACTTTTAGCCATATTATTA